GTTTGGATTTTCCAGGGCTGTTGTTAAAGATGACAGAGTAGTGGTTGGAATGTGCTTCATGGAGGGCCTTCGCATAGATTTCTGATGCTCCTGATAGGTCTGCTTATGAACAGTGAGTCCGGAGCTGATGTAACGTCGCTCAAGGGCACATCCAGCCATTTTCAAGTGTCTCAGCTCATCATTGTACCAGGGAGCTGAATGGGTAAAGCTGACAGCTCTAGTTTTAACAGGTGCATGTAGGTCCAAAATATCACTCAGGGTTTGATTGTAGAAGTCCACTGACTCACTGATGATGGATGAACAGTAGAGCTGTGCTGAAGGTCTGCTGCCAGGCTTGCTGCTGGGTTGATGTTTTTCAGGTTCCTGAAAGAGATTTGTTGCTTTTGTTTACACTGTTTATTGGAAAGGGCAGCTCCATAGAAATGGCCTTGTGGTCAGAGACACCAAGATCACGTGCAGTCACATTACTGGCAAAAGCTGACTCTGTGATAATCAGATCCAAAGTGTGCCCCTGGTGTGTGTGGGAACATCATCATGCTGCTTTAGAGTAAAGCAATGCAAAAGTTGAAGAAATTCAGTTGCAAAGCTGCAGGAAGGATCATCAACATGGATGTTAAAATTGCCAAGTAGTAAGAGGTTAGCAGATGTAGCACAAAAGGATGAAAAAAGAGTTGACATCTCAGAGTTGAAGGCTGGGTGGGGTTTGGATGGTCGATATACACTGCCTGGCCAAAAAAAAGACGCCACCAAAAAAAAGACCACACTCTAATATTTGTTTGGAGCGCCTTTAGTTTTGATCACATCATGCATTCATTGTGTCATTGTTTCGATAAGCGTCTGCAATGTCACAAGATCTATTTCCATCCAGCTTTGCATTAATTTTTCACCAAGATCTTGCGTTGATGACGAGGCACTAGTCATGATGGTGCATCACTTCACCTGCCTCTCTTCTTACCCTGATGCACCATCACTCTGGAACAGGGTCAATCTGGACTCATCAGACCACATGACCTTCTTCCATTGCTCCACAGTCCAATCTTTATGCTCCCTAGCAAATTGAAGCCTTTTTTCCCCAGTTAGCCTCACTGGTTAGTGGTTTTCTTAAGACAACACAGCTGTTCAGTCCCAGTCCCTTGAGTTCCTTCACATTGTGTGTGTGGAAATGTTCTTACTGTCACTATTAACCACAGCCCTGAGGGCTGCTGGTGTTCTTCTTCCATTTGATTTCACCAAACATTTAAATGATCACTGATCACGATCAGTCAGGATTTATTTCCGGCCACATTTCTTCCTGGAAGATGATGGGTCCCCACTTTCCTTCCAGTTTTTAATAATGGGTTGGACAGTTCTTAACCCAGTTTTAGTAGTTTATACAATCTCCTTAGATGTTTCTTCTGCTTGATGCCAATGACTTGACCCTTCTCAAACAGACTGACATCTTTTCCACGACCACGCCATGAGTCTTTGATCATGGTTGTTTAAGAAATGAGAAGCAACTCATTGCACCAGTTGGAGTTAAATAACTTGTTGCAGCTGAAAGATAATGGCCCATGCAGTGATGATCCGACAGGAGGATCATACCTGTTTGTTTAGTTAAATCCAGGTGGCAACTTTTTTGGGGGCAGGCAGTGTATTTACCTGAGTTATCTATGTCTACCTGTGTCTACTTTTCTACCTGCAGTTACCTGTATTTCCCTGTCTACCTGTGTCTACCAGCATTTACCTGTGTCTACTTGCATCTATCTATGTTTACTTTTGTTTATTTGTATTCACCCGAGTTACAGTGCCTTGCGAAAGTATTTGCCCCCCTTGAACTTTTCAACCTTTTGCCACATTTCAGGCTTCAAACATAAAGATATAAAAATTTTAATTTTTTGTGAAGAATCAACAAGTGGGACACAATCGTGAAGTTGAATGAAATTTATTGGATGTTTCAAACTTTTTTAACAAATAAAAAACTGAAAGTGGGGCGTGCAGTATTATTGGGCCCCTTTACTTTCAGAGCAGCAAACTCAGTCCAGAAGTTCAGTGAGGATCTATGAATGGTCCAATGTTGTCCCAAATGACTGATGATGATAAATAGAATCCACCTGTGTGTAATCAAGTCTCTGTATAAATGCACCTGCTCTGTGAGAGTCTCAGGGTTCTGCTCAAAGCACGGAGAGCATCATGAAGCCCAAGGAACACACCAGGCAGGTCCGAGATACTGTTGTGGAGAAGTTTAAAGCCGGATTTGGATACAAAAAGATTTCCCAAGCTTTAAACATCTCAAGGAGCACTGTGCAAGCAATCATATTGAAATGGAAGGAGTATCAGACCACTGCAAATCTACCAAGACCCGGCCGTCCCTCTAAACTTTCATCTGGAACAAGGAGAAGACTGATCAGAGATGCAGCCAAGAGGCCCATCATCACTCTGGATGAACTGCAGAGATCTACAGCTGAGGTGGGAGAGTCTGTCCATAGGACAACAATCAGTCGTACACTGCACAAATCTGGCCTTTATGGAAGAGTGGCAAGAAGAAAGCCATTTCTCAAAGAGATCCATAAAAAGTGTTGTTTAAAGTTTGTCACCTGGGAGACACCAAACATGTAGAAGAAGGTGCTCTGGTCACATGAAACCAAAATCCAACTGTTTGACCACAATGCAAAATGATATGTTTGGAGTAAAAGCAACACAGCTCATCACCCTGAACACACCATCCCCACTGTCAAACATGGTGGTGGCAGCATCATGGTTTGGGCCTGCTTTTCATCAGCAGGGACAGGGAAGATGGTCAGAATTGATGGAAGATGGATGGGGCCAAATACAGGACCATTCTGGAAGAAAACCTGTTTGAGTCTGCAAGAGACCTGAGACTGGGACGGAGATTTATCTTCCAACAAGACAATGATCCAAAACATAAAGACACATCTACAATGGAATGGTTCACAAATAAACGTATCCAGGTGTTGGAATGAACAAGTCAAAGTCCAGACCTGAATCCAATCGAGAATCTGTGGAAAGAGCTGAAGACTGCTGTTCACAAACGCTCTCCATCCAACCTCACTGAGCTCCAGCTGTTCTGCAGGAAGAATGGGCAGAACTTCAGTGTCTCCATGTTCAAACCTGATGGAGACAAACCCCAAGAGACTTGCAGCTGGAACTGCAGCAAGAGGCGGAGCTACAAAGTGTTAACGCAAGGGGGCCCAATAATAGTGCACGCCCCACTTTTCAGATTTTTATTTGTTAAAAAAGTTTGACACATCCAATAAATTTCATTCCACTTCACGATTGTGTCCCACTTGTTGTTGATTCTTCACAAAAAATTAAAATTTTATATCTTTATGTTTCAAGCCTGAAATGTGGCAAAAGGTTGAAAAGTTCAAAGGGGCCGAATACTTTCGCAAGGCACTGTATGTTTGTCTGATGTGTCTACCGGTCTACCTGTGTCTATCTATATATACCTGCATTTACCTGTCTACTACTTGCAGCTATCTGTAACTACCCGTCTACCTGTGTCTACTTGTGTTTACCTGTGTCTACCTGCATTTACCTGCCTTCCTGCGTCTATCTGCATTTTAACAGTTTTGTCTGTTTCTGCTTTTATTGACCTGTGTGACAGACCTCAGATGGCTGCAGCAGTTCTGACAGTTGGAGGTGAGTTTTATGTGAACAATAAATAAACCTCTGGGTCCTCTTGGCACCAATTATCGGTTAATGAATCTCTCGTTCTTGGTGTTTCAGACTATGAGCTGCAGGTCAGTCTATCAGAGGCTCTGTGTCGCCTGACACCTCGCCGGGACCGTCAGCAAAAAGTCCATCAGTGGTTCTCCTGCCATGACATCAGCTCTGCCTTCTGTAAAATAAGAGATGCAGATTTTGAAGTGGTGAGTGGCTCATGTTCTTTTGGACACTTGTTGTACTGTAGATCCTGATCCTGGTTCTGCCTACAGGACTGCAGACGGTTCTTAAACTTTGTTAACCGTTACCATGGAAACCAGAGGAGGTAATGCACCTTAATGTTGTTTACACCAACTCTGAGATAATAACCATGGTTAACTTTTGACTGGTTTTGTCCATCAGGGTGTACACCTTGCCCTGCCTGCGAGCATTCCTTGGTTCTACTCAAGTATGACATTTCACCTGAAGCTCTTAAACCCTCTGCACCTCCTGAGAGCTCATGATGTTTTTTCTTCCAGCTATTTCAACCGAAAGATGACAAACTGGATGAGTTCTGGGTTGATTTTAATGTGGGTTCAGGTTGTGTGAGCTTTTTCATCGACGATCCTCAGGTTGGTTCTCACCTGCCTCATCTTTGCAGAGCATGTAGAACCAGAAAATGTTCTACAGATGTGTTGAAAGATGATTTCCTGTTAGGGTTTCCTTTGGGCTTCGATCCACCTGCTGAAGGAGGATGTGGGTCATTATAATCTGCAGGTACAACATGATGGTAAGTACAGTCATTTTAACCTGTAAAATCCAATACACTGGTGAAGTGGTGCATAAATGGACTTTATCTAACGATCTGTAAATATACAAAGACAAATTGATTTATGTGGCCTTCATCACTTTATTTAAATATAACATTTCTGACAAATATTATTTTGTGCACTCATTGATGTTAATTGTGTTTTCCCATGATGCACTGGGGCAGAAATGGTCCTCAGCATCAGGCTGACCAATCCCATCATGCATTGCGGCAGCAGAGGTCAGACAATGAAGCTGAGCTTCGACTGTGAACACCACCAAGAGCTGGAGGAAGCTGCAGCAAGGGTCTTTGACGTACCTGTCTGTCTACACACCTGTCTCTTCCCATTGTCACAGATGTTGTTGTGGTTGCTCCCCATTTTCTCCTGATTTAGTCCTTTTTGTCAACTTTAATTTCACCTGACAAACTGGAGTCATTTTCTCCAAAATGATGATGTTTAACTGAAATCTTGTTGAATATCAGAGGACATGTTTTTATTGCTTCGTCTGCAGCTATATTAAAATGTTACGACTGTTGGTTAAATGCAGAATGTGCCCATTGTTTTGGTTTACCGTAGAAAGAACCGAGCTCCTCCCAACAATCAGCAACAGGTGGAACAGTCCAGATGTCCTCCTTGGTAGACAAACGTAAGGATAAAATCTACAGCTGGAAGAAATCACCGAACAAGAGTCAGTTGAGAGGTGAGATGTTAAGGGTGCATTCACACCAGCCCTGTTCAGTCCGCTTTAATCCAACTCCAGCTCGTTTTCCTAGAAAGTCCAGTTCATTTAGGGAGGTGTGAACGCACCATCGAACTCTGTCACGGAACAAAAAGGCGAACTCTGGCCCGGGCTAAAACCTAGGTCTCGGTCCGGTAGAAGAGAACTCCAGCGCGGTTCGAGTGCAGTGTGAATGTAAACAGACCGGGCCGCTCCACAGGACAAACAAACACGCATTTCTCTGACCTCATATGGAGCCGTCAGCTGCCTTGTGTGAAAAACAATATTCTCCATGGTCTTCTGTCTCATCTTCTGCTCATGCCAAGTCCATTTTTGAAAAATGACAAAATATAACTCCTAAAACTGCTAAAACTTGATGCCACTTCGTTTTTCTTGAGCATGTGATCAGCTGGTTCTGGTTGTCAGCAGCAAACTGGTTGATCCACTCTGAGAAGGTGCTATTTAAGAGACTGACCTGAATACAGCACCTCAGACTGAGGAAGTCCTCAGGATGAGAGACGAAACGTTTCTATATTTTTTTGCTTTGTTTTGTTTTTTGGTTTTTTAATGTCCAGAGGACCAGATGGAACTTTTTTGGATTTTCTACCTGGATTATTGAGCATGCATCAGGACACTTCGTTTTTGTTTTTATTTACAGAAGAAGAAGAAGACGTGTCTTCAGAGGTTTTTGTGTCGTTTCTTTCAGTAGTTCTTGGTGCAGCGCCCCCACAGGCGAGCGGGGGAACAGGTTGGTTCAACAGGTTGACTTGACTGCACAGTGCAGTGTGAATGCAAACGCACCAGCTCAAATGTAACAAAAGATCATGAATATTGGTCCCGAACCGAACTGAGTCTACCGGACTATCTGGTGTGAAAACGACCTAACTGCATCCATATGTCTCCTCTTTGTCTTTTTCCTGGCAGCTGCATCTGTAACATCCTTCTACCAATATACCCACAGTCCCTCCTCTTGACATGTCCAAACCATCTCAGTCTGGTCTCCCTAACTTTATCTCCCAGTTGTTCAACTTGTGCTGTACCTCTAATGATCTAATTCCTAATCTTCTCCATCCTTGTCACTCCTAAGGAAAACCTTAGCATCTTCATTTCTGACACTTCCAGTTCTGTCTCCTGTCTTTTTGTCCATGTCTCTCTCCAGACCATACAATATAGCTGGTCTCACCACTGTCTTGTAAACAACAAAGTCCATGCTCAATAATCCAGGTATAAAATCCAACATTTTTCAGTCGGGTCATCTGGACAGTTTCTTTTTTTTGTGCTGAAACGTTTCGCCTTTGATCCGGAAGGCTTCATCAGTCAAGGAAACGCACAACAAAACTGATTCTTCCCCCAACAGCTTACTCCGAAGTGGAACAAACCAGTTCTGCTTGTGATCTGTCTTGTAAACTTTTCTTTTGACCTTTGCTGACACCTTTTTGTCACAAATCACTCCTGAAACTTTTCTCCATCACTCCATCCTGCCTGGACTCTCTTCTTCACCTCTTCACCACACTCCCCATGTTCCTGGACAGTGGACCCCGAGTCCTTGAAGTCCTGCACCTTTGTGACCTCTGCTCCTTGTAGCCTCACTGTTCCACCTCCTCCCTCTCATTCACACACATGGACTCTGTCTTACTACGGCTGACTTTCATTCCTCTTCTTTCAAGTGCATACCTCCACCTCTCCAAGTTCTCCTCCACCTGTTCCCTGTTCTCACCACAGATCACAATGTCATCTGCAAACATGATCGTCCACGGGGATTCTTGCCTGACCTCATCTGTTAGTCGGTCCATCACCGGAGTAAACAAGAAGGGGCTCAGAGCCGATCCTTGATGCACTCCCACCTCCACCTTTAAGCTATCTGTCACTCCTACACCACATCTCACCACTGTCCTGCTGTCCTCATGCATGTCCTGCTGTTCTCATGCATGTCCTGTACCAGTCTAACATACTTTTCTGCCACTCCAGATCTTCTCATGTAACACCACACTTTCCTCTTCTCCCTCTGTCTCCCGACACATTTCGCTCCTCGTGGTCTTCGACTAACAGTAGCTCAATTTCCGCCGGCACCCTGTTTGTCAACAGCACCGGTGGAGGTCGTTATTAACCCGGGCCTCGACCGATGCAGTATGGTTTTGCTTTTATGAACTCACATTATGGTTTTGGCAAAAGTGTTTTACATCAGATACCATTCCTGACACAACCCTCAGCATTTACCCGGGCTTGGGACCGGCACAAGAGATACACTGGCTTGTGCTCCCTAGTGGCTGGTTTTCTTCACGAGTATTTAAACAAATTGTGCTAATGAAAGTTAACAGATTTATTGTCAAAGGTCATGATTTAATTTCTCAAATAAAAGGAAAAACAGGAAGCTAATAATCATCTCTCTTCAGTTTTACCCGTGTCTCCTCCAAGCAGCAAAGATTCATCTACATCAAAGGTAACAACAACAACAACAACAACAACAACGACACAAACAAAGTGTTTGTTTCTAAAGTTTGATGTTTCTTTAAAGCCCAGAGCCAAAAGTCGAGCAGAAATTCTGTTTGATCAGATCCAACACTCAAGTCCAAAGTTAAACTGTGAGTAAACTCGTTTCCTCTGTTAAAAATGACACGTTGTAAAAAGGATACAAACAAGTTCATGGTGTAAACGAGTTTTATAGAAAGGTTGTAAACAAATTGTTACAAACAGTCTAGAAAGGGACTATTTGAACAAGCTGTAAATGGATTAGAAAATGGCTGTAAAAAGAATAGTCAGTGTTTAAATGGTTTACAGCTGGGCTGCGTACGAACTGGAGCCGAACTGCTTGGAGCTGAACAAGTTGGTCCAAGGTTACAGTTGAA